CAGGTCAGCCTGGCCATTTCCAATGAACTGCACACCGTTGTACGCGTCTTGGGACAGTGAACTCAAATCTACGTTTAGAATTTGCGGAACGATTTTCTGAGCGGAGTTATGGAGGGTCTTATCCCCGCGTGGTCGTTTCACATGCTATCGCGAGGAAACGTGGAAGCGTCTTTACATTTATGTATGGAGTCATGCTGAAACGTGGTAGTAGAGCGCAACGGGTAGGGAGCGGGTTTCTTAGGCGAGACGTCGTAGGATCGGTTCCGGGGCAGACGGCTTTTTTGCATTTGTCCAAGAACATAGCCGACAAAGCTTCTGAACATCTCTGCTCGCCTGCACTGCCTTATAAGGGAACCTGCAATCAGTTTTTTTTGAAAGTGTAGACCCATTGTGGCCTGAAAGAGTGTTCTGCTTGTACCCCTCGTAACACGTGTCACAAGGGTTTTTGCAATGAAATACCATCATATTCATGTTCAGCGGGTTAAATTACCCCTGGGGACAAGTTTCTAGCCGAATCTGATATTTCGACCTCACTTGGAAAATGTGGGCTATTCCATGGGTAATCAGCAGCAGATTGGAGCTCACCTACCATCGATGACTGGTCTCCGAATGGGATTTTCTCCCGATAGTCAGGAAAATGATGCAGGCAGCACAAATAAGTAAGCGAGGTACTAGTGTTTGCGAAAAGACATGACTGAAGAGTTATTTCAGTTCGAAGACCAGTCATCACCAGTATGCTAGTCATAGTATCGCTGTTGGCTATCAGTCAGCCATGACTATCCATACCCCGTTTTTTCGAAGTTGAGTCAGAAGCTCAGATTTTGCTAAGGTGGCGTCCCTAGGGGTTATTTGACCCCCTGAACACGAATATGATACCTGCTTTGCGCGAAGAGCGCTGTGAGTCGCGCTACCGGTGCCAACGCTTCGGTGCCAGCGCGCCCGTAAGAAGAAAAACAGTAAAGAAAAACCTCAATAACTCCGCTCAGAGAATCGTTCCGCAAATTTTGAAGATAGTTTTGAGTTCACCGTCTCAAGACGGGTACAACGATGTGCATCTCATTGCAAATGGCCAGGCTGACCTGTTGACCTTTCCTGGTAAGAAGAATCGAGCCTCCTTTCACCACCAGTCCAAGCTCTTCATATTAGGTCGTCCGGAGCATGTAGGCCTTTTTTGCCTGGTCCTGATTGCTGAAGTATTTTCCAGCAAGGAGGCTCTGAAAATGTCTGAAAAGGTGATAGTCGGTTGGTGAAAGGTCTGGAGAATATGGCGGGTGAAGTTAGAACTTCATCCTCACATTCATTCATATTGGGCATGACTGTGAAACTGTGGGCCGCGTTGTCATGCAGAGAAATCGGACCCTTTCTGTGGAAAGGGCTGGTGCAGCTGAACTGCCTGCAGATTTTCGGTCGATTCTTCACCATAGGACTCTGCTGGCGGTGATGTTGGCCGTGACAAAAAGTTAGAGTGATCACGCCAGCCGATTGACCACCACACGGGCATTTAACCTTGGGTGAAGCATGTTCGACTTTGAAATTCCGTCGCTGGTTTGTCGCGCACGGGCGTCACTACTGTCCGTAACGTCTCCTGTTATCATACATGATCTCCCTTCATCACACGTGACATTCGGTCCGAGAGCGGGTCGTTTGTTGTGCAAAAGCAGTGAAGAAGAAACCTCGAGACGTGCCAATTTCTGCCGGTCACTCAAATTGTGGGGCACCCACTTGTCGAGTTTTTTCACCTTCCCAATGCGTTTCAGACCATCTGCAACAGTGGATTTGCCAACGCCTAGCTTTTCTACAGTCCTCATCATTACAGACCGGTGGGGCGTGTCAGCCAGAAGGAGCGCGCACATGTTGGAGCCGTTCTCAGCCTTTTTTTGCAACGCGTATGCGACAAAAAGTGGTAGAAAACGAGTAATACGAAGGAATAATACAGTAATGCACTTGCCCGCTTCAAAAACTGGTGCAGAACGATTTTGCCGAACCGCACCAAACGCAGCCGCACTGCCACGCCCCACCGGTCCGCAATGATGAGGACTGTACAATCCCTCGAACTTTGGGATGGGTCACCCTCTCGACCGCTACGAGGTTCATCTTCAAGGCTGAAATCTCCAGAACGAAATTTGTCGAACCATTGTCGCACGGTGCTTTCTCCAACACTATTGGCCCCACACCTGGTTAATTTGTCGAGCTGTCTCGATTGCGGATTGACCCAATTTATAGTTGAAGAAAAAATCGTCCGAAGTTGCTCTTTTGACATGCTTCAAAAAGTCTTGGGAAAAGGGGTTTTATCAAGCAATGGTGAAACGGCAATTATATCATCAGATAGCGCAAAGAATTTTTGGCACTATTTACCTTTTACTGCCCCAACTATCCAGAACTTGAGCCAGTTTTTGACCGACTTTTTTCTCCGTGGACAGATTTGACTCAAATGTTGTCTTCTGGGGTAGTTTGACCTCCTGAATACGAATATCACATTCGCTCAGCCCAAAACTTCTTGACGCCCGCGCCACAGGTGTCGGTGACTTGAGGTATACTGGCGCCAGCGCCTGTAGCGTGGGCGCCAGGAGGTTTCGTGCCGAGCGGATGTGATATTCATGTTCAGGAGGTCAAACTACCCCAGGAACAAATTTTTAGCCAATTCTGCCAACGCAGAAAAAAGTCGGTCAAAAACTGGCCTGTTTTGGAATATTGGGGCAGTAAAGGGTAAATAGTGCCGGGTCATCTGTGCTTTGGAGTGTATTCCTTTCCCAATATTTGTTTTTCTTTGTTTCTCTGTAGCTTAGGTGTAGCAACAGTGTTAGACTGCCTCCAACAGTTATTCAGGCATAGCTAGGGAACATTGGTAGTGGGATGTAGGTCGTGATATAGTGTCCGATGAGTGTTGATAACTATGAGTCGAGATGTTTGTGTCCTTAAGCAATGCAGTTGAAACTATTTCAACCGCTGAACCCTCAAATTTCTACGAAAAGTAAAATCTTAAAGATGTTCGCCAATGAGGAGTGATAAGAGCCACCGACAGATAGTAGATACGTGGGAACTGCTTCACCAATTCTAGGTTGTACCAGGATCCTACTATATATAATCCGCTAAGTATGTCTGTAAGTGTTGTGTGTGTGTGTGTGTGTGTGTGTGTGTGTCACGAAATTCATAGCGAGCGTCGCAGAAAAGATAGGATGACAGTTCCAAGAAGTGATATACATGGCAGGACGGGAACACTTTTGGTGGGTGATAGAATGTGATAGCACCTGATAAGATTCGATAAGGGGCCTTAGAAAGGGAGGGTGACCGAGCCCATAGTGCGGGACACAGTAACAGTGGGACATTGGTTCCAAGGTATGATATAGGACGTGAGACAGGAACATTATTGATGGGTGACAGGGAATGATAGCAGCTGATAGGATTTGATAAGGGGAGTTAGAATGGTAAGGTCACCATACTCATAACGCGGAACACAGCATCAGCTAGGCATTAATTTCAGAAAATGATATAGAGTTGGAGATGGGGACACGGCACGTGAGGTGATAACAGCTGATAGGGGCTGATAAGGAACGTTGCCAATGCTGTTCAGTCAAATTGCTGGAGCCTTTACACTACCAAATTATAGAGTTTCAGTGATAGGGACATTGATGACGTGACAGGATCTTATCAATCGATAAGAAAACTAAGGGGCCATTATCATTACCTCTCTTATCACTATACCCCAAGTATCAAAGGCTCAGTGTGCATACTTTTCCTTTAGCCATCACTTCCCTGATTGCCCTAGAAAATGAACTTATCCTACTATATAATGTCCGATGTCGACGAGCGGGGGGGGGGGGGGGGGGGGGTGTAGTTCGCCTGAAACAGGAATCCCAGGGAAATTCGAGAAATTCGAGGAGAACCGAAAAACACTTCAACGAGCGGATCGCATACTAATTGAAAGGAAAGCGTGCCTTTCAATTAGTATGCGAAAGGCAGTAGGCATTCCGGTGCAGGTAATGGAAACGAAATCTGCTATTTCACTGAGCGATTCATATTGCGCTGTATTGGCCGACTACACATTGTATCTATCTACAGATTTATGTATTCTATGGGCGTCATGGCGCGGACTACACCGCTGCTGTAAATAGAAGCGCGTGCTGAGTTGTGCGGGATCCTAAGCCTTGCTCTGTCTGTTACGATTCGATCACTACAGCGCCTTATGAGCAGCGCACTACCGAAAAAGTTCCGTTAAAATTATGGAGCCGCCTGGCGAAGCCAGGCCAGCTCGGCGAAGCCGAGCTCAAGAGAAGGAGGAGAGCACGGCGTGAGCCGTGCGATCCGACTGGTGTAAAGATATTTCAGTACCACTTCGATCCTGTTGCCATGAACTCTCTGAACAGCAAAGCTACCCCTATTTCAAACGAATGATGGGTGTTTTTAGGAGTGCGATAAGCACGACGGCTCAGCACAGAGATCTGGTCAGTAGCACAGGTTTAGCCATGCGCACAGCAGTGCGCGTCGGCCAGACTGGTATGAAACATCTAGTCTGGCTTCACATGCTTTCTTGGTGAATTGATCACTAAGGCAATCGGAGCCTGGCGATGTCTCCGCGGCAAACAACTATAACATGATATTCATATCCATGTTTCAGGAACAGTTTCTATCCAAATCTACTTCACTCTCTAATAGAGTAAAGTGATCTCTCCTTTCCAGCCTACTGAGGTTTTAATTGTGGCTACGCTTTCGTGTTACGTCTTACGATACCTAAGCAGTTCGCACGCATCCCCTTCGCATGACACGGATGGATTTGAGTCTACTATTACCAGGCAGCGTCCTCATGACTAGTAGCGTCTAATCCAGCGAACTTGTCCACAAGAGCGAACTTGTCCATTCACAAAGCAGTTAAGTAGAAAGCGCTTGCTGGATTGTCTGAGCCCTAGGTATACACAAGTTCGTACAGTATTTCTGAGCAGTTCCATTAAAAACAATTTATTCATTTGTGCACACACTTTAATCAGTTACTTGAAATGAATTATTTATAAAAACGAGTTTGTAGTGTTCGTCCATCTCCCGTCATTATCAAAGTATGACAATGGAATGACGTAGTTTGACGTCCAATCTCTCTCGAAAATCTGGAAGAGGGCATTACTAGCATGCCATAAAATCCATTTGAATGCCTTTTATTTTGCTGTACTTGTTCTGCTACAAAAGGTGAGGGCGATTTTTCTGAAAGCTTGCACGTAGCATGTGCTTGGCATGAGGATCGTTGGAATGCCTTTGTAAATGAGCTTACGGACAACAGATGGGCATGATTTTTGAAAAGGAAAGCACCGTGGACGGGTCCTCAGTCGGTTCAGTGTGCTTCACCCCCGAGTGATTGGAAGCAAAAGTTGTGCTGCTTGCGTTCTTTGCAATAGGAAGGAGGATCGTAATCCAAGCTACATATGCAGCTCAGGTTATCCTCGTTACCATCCTCGTTCCTTTTCCAAAGAATTCTTTCGATTTTTCCACTTTTTTCGCGTGATCTTTCCATTTTCGTAAGCGATGAAAACTATCGAATGATCTTTATAGATCATTAGAGTGAAGATGTTGGTGTGCTTATTTCTGGATATCACTATTACGAATTAGGTACCTTTGCGAATTGGTTCACCATAAATGACTCTTGACTGGTGTCATCCGATCGCACGACCATTCCTATTCCTGCCGTATATTTCCAATAGTCAGGAGTCCAATTAGAAGTT